TACTAAAACATACATATTGAAGAAACTTAAATAGTCGCCTACGTACTTTGAAAAACAATAAAGCCATTTGTTCAAAGAACATATATGTATTTCTCAGTTATTCTAGAAGGTTGGAGAGCAACCTACGTACTTGGCACATTAATAATATTCTGAAAGTTTGAGAAAATTTCAATACAAAAATGTTGTTTGAGATGATTAAAATTTCTTCAAATTGGGAGAGTTTATGTATTTTGATAAGAAAATAAGATTCACAAGTTTTCACGGTGATTAAATTGAACATTTGGTGCATTCTGACATTGCAATGTCATAATACATAAATCCAAATTTTTGTTGATTTCATCTTTCCGCACAATCCATTTATTTCGAATTATTTATACTTCAATAGTCTAATGAAAATGAATATTCAGCAAAGAAAGAAATTTGAAAACTGAGTTAGGGGGTATTTATATGGAAAAAATAAAATAACAATTTTGCATGAGAGAAACAAGTGAAAATGCGCGTTAACGAGTGAAGCGAGCCGAAATTTGAGAAAAAAATTCTCAGAGGGGGTCAAACCGGTAAATATCCAAAAAATTTACCCGGGGGTTACAGGCTTTCGAAATATGAGCATAGACTGCTTTTTCTACAAATGATAATGCTAGAGACGTAAGATGGTGAAATTTTCTTTCATCTTCAACATTTTTCATGGAGACATGAAGTCAACTTATATATCGAACAGTACCTAATACACGTGCAACACCATTTTTTTGATATACCAATATAAGGGAGAGACTATGCTAAATTTGAACCTATTAATTATATGCTTACAACATTCAATGATTATTATACAAAACCATAACTTTACCAAACACAATTAATATCACGATTAAATTGATTTAGAACGGTCGAGTAAAAAAAAGAAACATGTCATAAAATATTCTTCTTACGTTTTTCATAAAAATTCTCTATATTTTAAATTTATTTGTTTAAAAATAACAATAATTTCAATTTTTTATTTCATAGATTGAACAAGAATCCAATGTAAAAAGTAATACCAATGCGACACCTACCGTGAAAATGCAAAAGGAAACTTATTTGGGATTGTAGCACTTTGGTCCGCCATGACAGCATCTTCGTTTTGCTTCTCTGTGATTGGTCAAGTAAAACGAAGATGCTGTCATGGCGGACCAAAATGCTACAATGGAGACCAACTAAGTTTCTTTTTGCATTTTTACGGTAGGTGTCGCATTGTTATTACTTGGATTCTTATTTAATCGATGAAACATTTTTTTTTTGAAATTATTGTAATTTATAAACAAATTAATTTTTTCCCAATTTACATTTATTATCGCAATATTTGTTTACATTCAGAAAATAAATTTGCATAAATTACGAACGAACGAACGTGTTCGTTGTTTGTACGAACATACGAACGACAATCCGAACAATTCATTTTCTACGAACGAACGAACGAACAAAATATACATTGAAAACGAACGAACGGTTCGTACGTTGGTGTTCGTGGACAGCTATGACGCTATTTCACGCTATTTCACGCTACTTATTGACGCTATTTCACGCTACTTTATGGGGATCATCATGACAATCTCTAGATAAAAGTATCATTCTTATGGTAATTTTTGACGCTCTATCGATTTGCATTATTATTTTTTGCGAAAATCCGCACTCAAAAAGTGAGAAATCAACTTTTTATCATTTTACCCTAATTGTTGGGATACTTGCAGTGAATGGGCACGAGACAAATATCATTTCTAGGGTAATTTGGGATGCTGATTCCGAATTCCGAGGTTTCAGGCCGAAAAAATCATACCTTGAGGGGACTTGGAGGGCACATTTTATTTTTTTCGCCGTTTCATATCGATCTGTATAATGAAATATTTTTAAATGACATATTAACGAAGAAACCCCATAAAAGGGGGTGGGGGAGGGTCTGGTAGCAAAAATATTTATGCAAATCGATAGAGCGTCAAAAATTATCCTTAGAATGACACCTTCTCCAAAGGCACATTTCCACTACAAAAACCCCAATTCGGCATCTGAAACAATAATCGAAAGGGGAGATTACATCGCCTTGGGGTCGCTTACATGAGGGTGAAAATATTTTTTTATCGTATCTTCGCTGATTTGACTTCAGGAAGGACCGATTGAATATTTAAAGCGATTTATGTGGATATTCATAATTTTTACTATTTCTCTTTTGAAAAATATGCCTTTTATTTGGCATCGTTGCTGTTCCTTGACAAAGTGAAGTCCGCGCAAAACAATCGCCAATGGGACTTTTTCACGAATAGAATGTATGTTAACCAAAAAGGAAAATTGGTTGAAAAAATCGTGCCGAAAATGTGATTGAGCGCTGCTTTTATGCAGTTTTGCATAAGAACAAAGAAAACGAGGACATGGAACCACATTATTTATTTATTTATAAATTTTTTGCAAATGAGAGTTTGGCAGTTTAATGCAGTGTCAACCGGTTTGAGATTCGATAAAAAGTATATTGACAATGCAATTGATTGGGCGATTCGACGCTGTGATGCCATTCGGAACACACATCAGAATGCACCTCTAAAACGATACAAAAGAAAGTTACTGCTTGACATGGTTAGTGTAATTGTGGAAGAGGTTGGTGGACTAAATCGCAAGACAACAACATAACAATACCAAAGATCAAAAATCTGTCTGTTGTTCCATTGCCAAAATTATCAGCGGAAGGCAGTGATCATGTGCAATGATGTTTTTTACAGAATGTTGGCAGAAGAGAAACTCCTTCCAAAAGTCGAAGGTAAACAAGTTACCGAAAATATCATTCGCGAAAACAAAGAACTTTTCTGGAACCAAATATTCAATTTTGACAAAATCAATCGAATATTGAAGAAAAACAAAGAGTTTCATTATACTATTGTCAGCAACGGTGAATCAGTATCGGTATTGTATAAATTGCCAAAACAACATCTTCAACGGTTGTTGGATGATGACATTGTGAGAAAGCGATACTTAGATGGAACGTTTGTTTATGAACTGGGAATCGATCCGGGTATGAAGATATGGAATGCGACAGTTCGAAGAACCATCAGCACTCACAAAGAAGTAAGTATTCAATTTTTCTTTTGCATTTTTAAAAAATCGTGAGTGATATGTTACGTGAATGAAGCAAACAAACAATATTTTCAATTAATTTTTTTACATTTTAATTTCAGGTCAACATGAAAACATCTAGTAAAAAGAACCATTGGCTCACGAAATATAAAATGCGTGACAAAAAGGCCAAGCGATGGACGAAGCAGTTCACTTTGGATGAGCAAAATGATCGAAACAATCGACAGCTGTACCAGCGAATGCCATCATGCGCAAAATGTGGCGGATGATTCAATCCAAGTACCAAAAGCAACCGATTCAAAGTTTGTAAAAATTGTGCACCGGTGCCAAATTCAATCATGGCTAACTTTTTACCATCCAAAATCGTGGCACAGCTCAGCAAACGGCGTTTAAAGTATAACAAAGTTTATATTGAAGAGAGTTTGGCGCTATTTCTGGCAAGAGGTGAAATGACTGAGCATGATTTCGACATTATAGCTGATCGTTTACTGTCTAAGGTGGCCGTGTTTCCAAACAAATGGCAAGTAAACGCAGTGAGTGGTGTATTGGAATATACTGACGTCAATGTTGATGATGAAAATGCAGCGGAAATCGATGGACAGGTCGCTTAACAACCAATGATTGTGCATCAGACAACTTGGGATCGTGATATCGTGGCCGCCAAATGCATTCTCATCAAAGGTATGTATATAAGAAATGGATATTTGCATATTATAGATGTGTTATGTTTGTGTTAAATGACATTTGTATTTTCATAGGACATTGTAACCTGTTTGGACTGGATATCCCGCTAACATTGCAGAGACCACGTCGTTAACAAGCAGTTCAAATTAAACAGCAGACTTAGCAAAACCAATCACCATTTTAACTCGAAAATTAATTAAAAATTAATATTGTAATTTGTTACACTAACTCTATTGAATATATCGAGAAGAGAGTATGTTATTCAGCGCTTATGGCTGAGAAATGTCTGAATAAAAACATACTCTTCTCTCGATATTTTCAATAGAACTGAGACTGACTGTTGTGTCTCAGCATTTCGAGGAAGTACTACCAAGGCATTGGCTACTTTCATTTATACATTCAGACTTGACAATTGTTTTTCGCTTCGTTGTATAAATGCCATTAACTATCATAGAATTTTGCCTATATTGAATGAATAAATACCATTTTTCTATTTATAGATATGGGAAACACCCTACATTGTATTCTTACTTATTAGCATAATTTTTTATAGTTTTCCCTCTTTAATACAAACTTTGGTCTATGGTGACACCTGGTGCTGTGAACAAATAATGAACAACAAATATTACATTTTTCTCTCTCTTCGGAAACCATTCTGAAGGAAAATAAACGGTGTTTATGATACCATTTTTAAATAAAAAATAAACCTACTTAGTTAACCTACTTTTCACTCACAAGTATTTTTTTCACACTGAGCAACGGCAACAATGAAAAAAATATTCACATTACAACGTAATTGGTGATTTCATTCACATTTATCTTTAATATAAGTTTAATGTTTACATTTTATATTTTTCCAATAGAGAAGAGGTGTCGGTTTTTTTTGCACTTATTTATGCGCTATGAATTTTTCCATGTTGTTCGATTTTATGTTTTGCAAAATCAACTGTTAAAGAATATGAGATAATCAAAGAGGGAAATATGGGGAATGAATTGTTTAGAGAGATTGGCACAATAGCTTTTGATTATCAAGGAGAAGTGTATACTGCGCATGTAAGTATTTGACAAACAGAATGAATACATGAAACGTTGAGTTCAAAATCCATTTTTATTTGTTTTTCATATAATAAGTTGGTATAAATGTATTTTAATTATTTTTTTAAATTCCATTTTATTTATTCACTTTTATTTAACTGGGAATTGATTTTCTGTATGCATTTGCTTAATGTTAAGAAATATTTTGTTTGAATTTTGTTGTTGAGAAAATATGGTTTAGCCCTTCTATGTTTTTATGGGGATATTCTTGTTTCATTATTTTATTAATATAATGATCTCAAATCTAGTTATAGAGATCATCATCTCCATCAGCTTGAGCTTGACCGCCACCGTTGCCCGCCGAGCTTGAGTTTCCAAGTGATGAACTGCCTGAAGGTGGAGCGCCAGCAATTCCACCGGTTGGAAAGCGGAAATTTGTACCGAATCCACGAGATTGTTGCAATGTTTGAGCAAACATTTCATATTTGCGAATATCGTTGTCACTGACTGATCTACGTGCGAATTTCATTGCTTCTTCAAAATGAGAACGTGTAATTTCTGGTACTGGATCATCTTCATCCATCTGTATGAAAAAAAGAAGAAATATTTAATTTATTTCTTGATTTTGTGATTCTAAAAGATTAGATATTCGCTACTAATTGGTGCACGTGCATCGTTACTGAGAGCTTACAGTGATACTAATTTAATTGATTTAGAAGTAAATTCATCAACAGTCAAACTTAGAATTGAAAATATTTAAAACCAAATAGATGAATTGAAAACATAATTGTGAACATAATTATTCGTTTTAAAAACTGCTTCATGTAAGACTTTAATTATATTGATTTAATTTATTTCAAATAAACCACCGAGGCGAAGAAACGCTGTTCGGTGCAGTTTTTATTATTAATATTATAAAATGAAGAATCTTGTTCAGTTAAGACTTACGTCCATAGCCGATTGTTGATTTTCAGCACGTTCACGTTCTCTTTTAAGATCGGCCTCGATGGCATGTCGAATAGCCAATTTACAAGCACGTTGGCAAATTTCAGTTAAATCTGCTCCAGAAAAACCTTGTGTTACTTTTGCAATGTATGTCAAATCAACTTCTTTGGCCAATGGGCTCTTTCGAAGATTTGCCTTTAGAATGGCTTCACGTGATTTCTCATCAGGCAATGGAATATAAATAAGTTGGTCCAATCGTCCTGGCCGTAAGATTGCTGAGTCAATAATGTCTAAAAATTGTACAAATATATTTTATATATCAAACATATTTAAACTGATGATTAAAATTAAAGATAAATCTACACATCTAATTCATACCTGGTCGATTTGTAGCTCCAATAATGAAGACGTTCTTCTTTGCTCCCATACCATCCATTTCAGTCAAAATTTGATTAATTACGCGGTCAGCAGCACCTCCGGCATCACCAACATTTCCACCTCGTGATTTAGCGATGCTGTCCAATTCATCAAAGAATAATACACATGGGGAGGCTGAGCGTGCCTTATCAAAAATATCGCGAACATTAGCTTCCGACTCACCAAACCACATGGTTAGCAATTCGGGTCCCTTAACCGAAATAAAGTTGGCCTGGCATTCGTTGGCAATTGCCTTTGCCAACAATGTTTTACCGCAACCAGGTGGTCCATAAAATAAGACACCTCGTGATGGCTGCATACCTAAAGAGACATGAAAAAAATACAAATGAAAATATATGATTTTTGAATTTTGATCAATAGAAAAATATAGGAGAGCTTATGTGAATCATACACAAGGATGATTTGAAATATAGGAGGACTCTCCAACTAAATTGATAAGAGATCAAGCCACTAAATGTGCATACCAAATTTAAGGAATTTATCCGGATGCTCAACTGGATATTGAACCAGTTCTTGTAATTCCTTTTTAACACTTTCAAGTCCACCAATGTCAGTCCAAGTAACGTTAGGAACTTCGACAACTGTTTCTCGCAACGCAGATGGTGAGGATTTGGTCATTGCATAACGGAAATTATCCATTGTAACAGCCAGCGAGTTCAAAACTTCAGCGTCGATTTGATCGTCTTCCAAATCGATCAGATCCATTTTTTCACGAATTTGTTGTAGAGCAGCTTCCGAACATAGTGAGGCTAAATCAGCACCAACATGACCATGTGATTCAGCAGCTATTTGTTCTAAATCAACATCATCAGCCAATCTCATATTTTTCGAGTGAATACGTAATACCTCTAGTCGACCAGTAGCATCTGGTATACCAATATCAATTTCACGATCAAATCGGCCGAAGCGACGAAGTGCTGGATCAATGGAATTGGGTCGATTGGTCGCGGCCATAACAATGACGTGTGAACTCTTTTTCATTCCATCCATCAAAGTTAATAGTTGTGAAACAATACGTCTTTCCACTTCTCCATGTGTTTTTTCACGTTTTGGTGCTATAGCATCTAACTCATCGATGAAAATAATTGCTGGTGAATTCTTCTCAGCTTCCTCAAAAGCTTTCCGTAAATTTGATTCAGATTCTCCGGCCAATTTGGACATGATCTCTGGACCATTGATTAGGAAGAAAAATGCCCCCGTTTCGTTAGCTACAGCCCGTGCAATCAAAGTCTTGCCTGTCACATGAAATTGAACACAAATATTTTAGATGTATTGTTTAGTGAATAAATTATATTTCCAAAACGAACCTGTCCCGGGTGGACCATACATAAGTATTCCACGAGGTGGTTTTACACCAATTGCCTTGAAAAGCGATGGATGTCTCAATGGAAGTTCAACCATTTCTTTAATTTGAGCCAATTGCTTACGACAACCTCCAATATCGTCATAGCCCACTGCATTCAATGCTTCTTCTTCTTCTTCGCGTTTGATTGGATCTCCTTCACAATGCAATACCGTTTCTGGGGCTACAATGCAATATGGTGATGGATCCGTACCAACCACTTTGAATTCAACGGCTCTCATTCCTCCGCGAACTAAGAATGTATCATCTTTGTGAATCGGCCGATATGCCTCAAGAAAGTATGGTTTTAAATAAACCTCAAAGACGTTTCTAAGGGTTGAATAATATATTTAATTTAAATAATTCATCTTGATTCATTAATTTTTATTTACTAACCCAGTTAGACCTTCAACAGTGTCATCAATAGGTAAAATGTGTACTCGACTACCATATTTGACATCAGGACATGACTGAATTGATACAACATCACCGAGACGAACACGTAAATTGTTACGTACAACGCGATTCATGCGAATTTTCTCATCGGGACAGTTATCGTCAGACAAAACAATACAAACAGTTTCCTTGCGGCGTTTTCCTTTTAGTAGCACCGTATCACCTCGGAACAAACGCAGCTCGTCCATTTTTGACTGTGACAATGACACTACCGAATTGTCATCATTGACAGCTTCCTCAACGAGTAAACGATTTGGACGGTCCTTTCGTTTCAAGATTGCAGTTGCTAAGTCATCACTGGGAAAATATAAAACTCTATGAGAAGATGTTTTTAAATAAAAATAGTATTTGAAATGGATCGAAAGAATCACAAAACTGTTGGAGCTCTGTCGAAAGTTTAACCTCACATTTATTTTATATATAATAAAATAAATAAGACTTGTTGTCATTTATACCAATGCAATATGTTTTTTTTTTTCGAATATACGAAGTTTAACATTATAAAATCAAAATAAAATATTATCTCGAAGCATACTTGTTTTTAATTAAACAATGACTTGCATAAAATGGAAATCATTATCGTTTGAACAGTAAGTAAAAAAACAAGTGTTTCAACTAAGCAAAAATTCAAACATTCCATATGTCTTAAACATTTAATCATACTTTAAAAAAGCAATTTTAACACAGAATTGTATAAAAATTTATAAATGAAATCATATATATTTATATATATGCACCTTTTTTCATCGGCCATTGTTAATCAAAAATATGTGTTCTGTACGTAGTTGTTTCAATGGCGTGAAAATGTATGTAACTTTTGGATAAGAATTGATGATGAAAGAATCTTTTCAACAATGAAAGCCCTCTTCATAAATCTAAACATCAGACTTATTCCAGCATTATTGTCAGATGGAAAAAACATTCAGAACATGTACTAAAATTGCCAGCAGCCATCAAGAGCGATAATATAACGCCACTCATTTCAATAGAAATGATGCAGTTTCTTGAAACTAATTCAGCCATTATTTAAACATAAAAAAAAGAACAATTTTCACCACAGAGAAAATAAAGAGCTTACTCATGCATTATTGTTTGTGATTATTAGCAATTAATAATATGTATTTCTAAACACATTTAAATTACTAAATTCTTTAAATCATTTATAATATTACAAATAAATTACTCATAGTACCTTTTATGATCAGCCATATTCGTCTCGGAAATTATTTCGAAATATTGAATTTATAAAAGAAAAATTTATTGATTTTTTGCGTTATTAACTTTATTTTTGTGGCGTTTATTTATGATATTTCAATTGAGAAATTACATGTAAATTACAAAGATCATATATAAAAATCTTCTGTAATATCAAATAACGAATAACAAATATATCCAATTGACTTGTCTTTGGAACTGAACTGAACTGAACGCTCAACGATGACAATCCAAAATTGAATGTATGACATTTACTACTAATGTTTTTTTGGTATTGCCATCATTAAACTAACACGTAATCAATATATATGTATATATATGTACTAAAATATGTGGTTGGTTCACATTATAAAATTGCACTATTGTAAACTAATTAATGAACATTTATTTATTTCTATATTCGTCTTTTTAGTTGCTCCTACAAAACAGTTTAAAATGTAGTTTTCTTGTCAACATAATTTCAAGGGGCAAATAAAGAGTATAAATTCTATGAATACGAAACGGCTACGAAATTGACTGACACTGTTACCTACTCTAAGAGTGCGAAAGCAAAAAAAGAGTATTGTGTCCGGTGTCGATGTTCAGAATTTCTTTATATGGTTTCATTTTTTCACAAATAGTAATCATTTTGATGAATAATAAATTATTATTATTTGCGGTGCACGAAGAAAAAAGAAATGAAATTACTGAATTTGAGCCATATTAAATATTCACTCTCAGTAAGGATTTTTTTGTATGTATATTGTATATAAATGTCTGAATTTGCCGAAACAAATTCTCATTTTTAATGTTGAACAATATGCGTAGTGTTTGAAACAATAGGCGTTTTAAATTTTAAGATATTATTCAATCTAATTGGATAAATGAATTATTTGTTTTTTGAAAATGAATGTTTTTTGGTGGAAAGAGTATAATGCATTTTTTCAATAAAGACTTTCTCAACGTATCAATTTAAAAAACAAGCATTTGTGATCGGTATTGGCCAGTGGCGACAATGTGATGCTGACATTTTACAGTTTAGCTGTGTGACATATTCAATTTGAACATTCATATGAAAAGGAAATAGAACTTTGAATTTTGTTGTATTCACACAATTGTTGTCAATGTTACCATAATTTTATTCTGAATTCATTACATTATAATGATAACAGGAGATGTGTTGTCGAGTTGAATTTTTAATAATAATAATAATAATAATAATGAAAATATCTTTTCGAGATGAATTTGCCGTCAATTTTCCATTTAATTTCTTTCTTTTATTTCATGAAATAACAGAAAATTCGCAAATTATCAAATTCGGATTATCAAATCCTTAACTAATACAATCTTTTTCTTTTCCATTCAGCTCGATTCAGCTATTAGATTAGCATTGCTGGTTTATGGTGTTTATGTGCCAATAAAATTGAAATAATTGCAGCAATTGAATTTTAGTTGTAGTGAGTTTAAATTTTTTGGATTGCGTTTACAATGGGACGAAAAATAGAAGGAGCTGGTCGTATTTTCGGCTAGACCAAAAGTTCGCAAGAAGATGTCGGACTTTTTGCAATTAAGCTATCGCCGACAACAGCTATTAAGCAAGAATATAACACAGTCTTACCGTGGATAGAAAAAATTGGTATTGAATCCACTTTTTGCTTCTTTACTATATTTGAAAAAGATTGGAGTAGAAAATGAGAAGGCAAAACAAACGAACGATTTGGAATTTTTCGAAGATGATGATGATTAAATTGTTTGTTCATTTTTGAGCATGTTATTTCTAAATTTTATAAAAAAAATTTAATTGTGTATAAAAAACACTAGATATCTTTATGAGAACAATTTCGTTTGATTAGCAATTCTGAACGATACTGTGATTCCACTGTGATCATTTCCAAAATTTATCTAAATCAATTGATCCACGACATCCATTTTTTATTTACAAATGCGCGAAATAATATTGACACGGAAAATATTGGCGCGGTGTATATGTGTCAAACTGAATCCAATGTTATTTGTTTATATTCAAAGTGTGCACAAGGATTTCTTGAGAATTATGTGTGAGTATTTGTAGCGTGCCTCGGACAATCGAACATAGTCATTTTAACAATGATTTTGTGTATTCGGAACACTGTTCGGCATGGACTGGATATATTCACAGTTGGTTTTGTGACTGTCTTTGTTTTAATTTCGAAATAACAGAGCGTTGATAAAATTTATGGTGAATATTCCAACAACATTTCGATCTGCAATATATTTGATGTCACATTGGAAATAATTTTCATCATTCGATTTAGAATACAAAGTCACTTTGTTGAGGTAAGACCTGATATTTATAATGCGTTCTTCATTACTGTTTCATTTGATTTAAGATAGAAGTGTTTTTAGCTTATTGTTTTTATGATATATGCTACATTTGGTCCTTCTTTTCTAAATTTGTGTAATTTTTTTATATTTGTTTATTTGTATCAGTGTTCAAGAATGAAAAGAAAAAGATATAACAACGAAGAAGAAGAAAATTTCGTTGCAATAAAATGTGGCTCTCAAACAATACTTCGACCCGAGCATGCAGCAGTTATGACTCAAATATTGTTTGAGCGCAGTCTTCAAATGACGGAGGTTGCCTGACTGGCCTCAATTTTGATTTTATTCAAGATGAATCGTCAGTACTTTTTGCGATGGGATCGTCGGGTGCGCACTTTGACTCTCTTAAGAGATGAACGGTTGAGGTGAGATATTTTGAAATGTAATTTGAAATGGGTTTGAATTGAAACTCATTATTTTTTAATTACTTTGAATTTTGGCGGAAAACATCACAGTTTGATACAGCAGAAAAGAAAAAATAGAGAGGCAAAGAAATTGGCTGGATGGTTTGTTATCGAAGAAAAGAATTATCTGAAGTCATACCTATTCGATCCACCATCACCACGTAATTCAACATGGAAATGGTATATTGAATATCGTATCACAATGCTAATAGCAGCATATGCAACGCGTAAATATTCACGACTGGATTTTGATCATTACATTAAGTCGACCAAAGTTAATGAAAACGTCGCCGTGACAGTATTCAACAACGAGCCGTTAATGATTTTCTTTGGTGCATCGGCTATTTGGTTTGAAGAGACGGAAAAGATGTCCAGGATCGCTAAAATTTTTACTGAGCATCAGGAAACTTAGACATTCAGTTAAAATGGCAGATGAATTGGGAACATCAAAAAACATTCTTGAATTGCCAAGAAGGATTTCAAGCAAAAACAAAAAGGCATCGATTCAAATTGTGCTACGGTTGCAAAGCGAAACCGATTGCTGGACTACCGGACTCAGTCGCTAGTCTACCAGTTATAATTGCGTCAAATTCGCAATGGCTATGTGGAGGAAATACTTCGGAATGGGTGTTTAATGCTAAAGGTTAAAGTTACCTACAAAAATTGGTCATTACACATTCAGGATGATGATGCTGCTTCGAAGACAGTGTTTTGGCACCGCAAAATGCATTATGCTCAAAGGTATGAATCAATTGAAAATAGAGTCTATTCGTTATTGTTTTTGCTTCTAATTACACAGGACTTTGTGACTGATTCGTTGAGAAGACCACCGAATGCGAACAATGTTAACAGACAACAGAAATCCATAAATTACTAGATAAAAAAAATATTATAACGATTAGTTAGCGTAGCTAGGCTTGACACAAATTTTGTGGTCTTCTTGTGCGTTCATAGCAACGTAAAACTACAGTACGGAGGGAAGGAGCCCGTAGGTGAGTCAAGTTTTTAATTTAGAAAGAATTTCATATACAATTCAATGAACGATACTAATGATTGTCGTTCCTCTTTTCCATGTCTTCACACCTGAATGCATAACATGGCAACCGTGAAAATGACTGAAACGACAAACAAATCCGGGCCCAAATATGACCTGACGGTCATTTGTGCTCTGGTAATGGGTGAATTTGCATAACAAATTGTTCCTTGGGATTTCCCTGTGTACATTCATTCAAACGATGTTTGTAATTCAAACCCTAGAAAACTAACAAACTCATATGAATTTACTTCAAAATTACATATTAATTGACTGCAATATTTGCGAAGTGGCATATTTTTGACATTTTGAACATATTTGAATAAATCATTGTTTACCAAATAACATGCTGAGCTCGAATTATTGTTTAGAAGCCCTTCAACTGTGTATTCAATTTAATAAAAAAAATTCTTTATTAAGATCACATTTTCTTTTTACAATTTACATAAAATTTTTGGTGTTTCCAAGGCCCAAATGCTTTTCACTTCATTGTTTGCCACTAAGTTTTGCAAATGTTTTTCATCTAAAAAGAGTATTGAGTTTAACAACATACATGAATAAAATCCATTAAATTTCACCTTTTGACTTTCCGTATTGTTGTAGAATGGGGAATATTTCGAAAACAGGCACAGACATATTAACATTTGGATAAATAAGCTGATAAGCTTCGTCTCTGGAATTTGATATTGTAATGCCAATCAAATGACCATCAAGGTTGAACATTGGTCCTCCACTCTGACCTGATTGTACACTGGCATCGCTGAATATAACACCCTTAGAGATTTTTGTAATGCGTCCTTCAAAAATGCTGGGAAAGAACTCATGTACTTTACCTGCATCATTAAGTAATAAATAGTAATGACAATTAGTTCGCATAGAATGAAATGAATGGAGAAGAATTTTCTATGGAGAGAGCTCACAGAGAGAGGGGGGGGGGGAGGTACATGTTCGATAAGTTCTTCCTGTCAATATTATCGTGTTAATGAAATAAAATCTGTGATGGCATGTCAAAAACTTTGTCTTTGTCGAAACTAATTTCATTTGTGATGATATGCGTAACATGTAAGATGCGACATATATGAAAAGTTTGATATTTTTCGGATTTTCATCATGATTATTTCTTTAACTTTATATTGGAAAATAATTTCAAGTGTTTGGGAGTTTCCGAAACTAATGAGGTTTTTAACACGTCACGTAAAGGAAAACTTGTCGAATACCATCCCAGCATACAACACACAATTAAGAAAATAAGTTTCATTAATGTTATTAATGATAATAAAAAGATAAACTTTACCCAAACTGGTGAAATGCGGAAAACCGGATGAATACACTTTTTGACCAATTTTCGTAGGTGTCGTATAACACTTAGTAAAATTCTGCTCAGGAATATTCTGTGGTGCTTCTAATATTGCTATATCAAATGCTTCATCAAAATATGGATTTTTGAATATAATTTTACTTTCAAAATGACCAAATTTCCAAGTACAATGAACATTTCCGTTATGATTTTCCAACACATGAGCACATGTTATAATCATACGTACTTCTTTGATTTTAACAAAACATCCACTACCCCAACTCTCTCCACTTTGAATTAGGACAATAAAATTTTCAAATTTCAATGAATCTTGTCTAACGTAGTTCAAGCTTTTGTAATCAAATGCGTCTCTGTTGTTAAATTTGGAGTCATGATATATGTCCAATTCATTTTCTATATTGATTGAAGTTAATTTGCTCTGTTCTATAAATTCAGCCATGATTTCATTGAATTTAGCCACAAGTGTTAAAGTCGCATTTTCACTATTCCAATCAAATGTTGTGCTAACAACCACTCCTATTAAGTCATTGTTATCTTTATTGTATACAGCACCTCCTTCACAACCAGGTACCTAAAATGAAAAATTCTATTAAGCACAACAGATCAACACGAAAAGTGAATCCAAAGCAGGTACTAGAGGCATAGATGCAATCATCAGACATTTATTATCGCCAAATATGTTAGCAATCCGGCCCACATTTATGGTATTTAGGAAGCATTCATTTCCAAAAGGAGAACTGATTGATTCGATATTCTCGAGCTTACGAACAACATTCATACGAAGTACATCATTATGTTCCTGATCCAATTTGACACTTTCAGATATTTCTTTAAAAATGGCCAGAGATGAGTTGTTTGCCTCTCTTTTTATTTTTAATCGCAGCATTATAAAGCTCGACAGAAGAAGTTTATGCAAATCATTACTTTCGTTTTTTGCAGACTTCACAACGAAAGTTCGCAAAATATCATTAAAAGAATTCCAAATATTACGACATTTGAATATCTTTACAATTGTTGCATTCGATTTGTACAAAATGTCTTGGTATTCATGAATAATTTTAAAATTATCCTTGATTAAGCTACTATAACGTTCATCTGTACTTGGATCAATAATTCGATTAATTTTTAAGTCTCTTTTAATATCATCAAAGTGTTTAAACCACTCAAGTAAAATTGATGCAGGTGCTAAACAGTATCGACTGTTGAAAATAATACATGATTTCCGAAGTTGTGGATTATTTTCACTGTAAACAATACCGTGATGTAACTTCAACCTTTGATTCATTGGCTGTGTGATAAGAATGTATTAATATTATTATTTTGATTTTTTTTGTGAATATTCATTATGATATTTTGAAAAATTACCTTCCACAAAAATATTTCGATTCGATTCAAATAACAATGTTATTCAATATATTCAATGTCTTTTACGATCTTATAAAATGCGACTGACGATTCACAGATGATGATAATCTATTTATAGGTAAGAGTCGACGAATACATGCGTAATTAACATGGTAATTAATGTGGTCCAGATTAACATTATTTACTGTCATTCACAACAATGAGTTATTTAATGATGTATATGTATTTTTCTCTATTTTCAATTCGTCGTAAAATGCAATTATAATTTTTTTATTCAACTAACGTCAATCACATTATTAGTGATGTATGTATATATAATTGGAATATTTCCAGTTGAATGTTTTCTCAAAGATTGATATAAGATTTTCTTTATTGTTAATTCATATAGCAACATTTTTTTTTGTTTTCAGTCTAAAATATGATGAAATTTTATAAACTATTATCATTATTTCACTAATGAGGAAAAAACGTACCACACGCGTAAATATGTGGGGATGCGATTGATAAACCGAACGTGATCAATGTGGTCGGCCAAACAAACATCGATGTGGTCGACGTTGACCTGATAACGCAAAGGTCACAATTATAATTCAATCGCTTAACAACACATTTTCCATCTGAGAATTGAACGGGTGAGGACTGAAATGAGCTCAAATACCAATGAAAATAAAACTGTTACATATCTTTTTAAAATAAATTTGTTGTTATAATGTTGTAATCAGAGCTGGGCATTCGTTCGTAAGTTGAAATAATACTCGATCAGTCGTTTGTATGTGCGAACGTTCGATTATTCGAAGAAAAAATAATAATATTTTTACCCGAGATTTGCAAGTAAATTTAAAAACGTTTGAATTTATTGAATATAAAATAATCTTTTTAATAACTTGTGCTTTTTGTGATGTCCAAAGAACAATATTTATAAAAAAACATTTTCCAAATTTACTCCTTTTCTGAAAGGATATTCATTTCAAAAAAGATATTTAACAGGCACTGGTCTAGGGGATAGACACCAATTTCTAGTATATACAGGGTGTTTCATATAAGTGGCTCACTTTTATAGAGTGGTAATTTCGAAAAAATCTTTTGGGGGATATTTTAAGGGTGAAAAACTAAGAATTTTGGCTCAGCCGGATTTTTGAATTTTTTCCCAGGAGGTGGGGGGGGGGTCAATTTTCCTCAAAAATGACTATCTCTCCACGCCTATCAAAATAAAATTAAGAGTAATTTTGAATATTTATCCTTTTATGGTTGCAATGTGTTCTGGGGATCTTCCTCTACAAGATAGACTGATTTGTAGGTCGGTCAAAATAAAAGGGATTAGGAGAGGGGGTCATGTACATTGACATTTTTCTACTTGATTTTATTCAAAATTGCGACACGGAAACCAAATTTTTTTTTCTCCTATCGTGTTTCTCGAGTCCGTCTCGACATGATAAGACACTTTGTAGAACATTTCATTCGGGCCGGCCCGGGCCATCAATCAGAAGTTACGCCAGATTTTTCACTTGTCCCTATCGTGTTCCTTGAGTCGGCCCCTACAAGATGGGATAGTTTGTGGAAAATATTATTGAGATTTGGGCCGGCCAAGACCGAAAATTGAGGTGCCAAATCGGCCATTCCACATTTGGCACGATTTTTCGAGGTTCAGCTCAAATGAATGTTGATTTTTTTTACCTCTATCGTGTTCCCTGAGCTTTTCTCTACAAGATAGAACCATTTCCCATTAAATTGGATTGGATTTGTGTCGGCCATGGCCGAAGACGGAGGCGCAAAACTGATTTTTTCGATTTTGGCACGCTATTTCGGGATTTTCCCAAAAATAAACTCGATTACATATGGTTTTTTGGTCCTATCGTAATCTCCGGACCATTCTCCACAAGGCATGTACATTTTTGGATCCTTTGGCTTTAATTTGCGCCGGCCAAGGGCCAAAAGTATGACATTATAACCATATTTTTACCAAAATTTTTACTATCTAAATTTTTTTTGTATGAAATGTAGACCGACTGCATCTAGTTTCCTTGTCCCTATCGTGTTCCTTGAGTTGGCCCCTACAAGATGGGATAGTTTTTGGAAAATATTATTGAGATTTGGGCCGGCCAAAGCCAAAAATTGAGGCGCCAAAACGGCCATTTCACTTTTTGCACGATTTGTCGAGGTTCAACTTGAATCGATGCTGATTTTTTTTGCTTTGTAAATGTTGTGGGGGCAAAAAGGGGTCGAATGACACATTGGGTGAGGTCGCCCTCCACCTCCAGTGGGGCGGGGCAGGGTGAAATTCCGAAAATATGCTTAAATCGTAGATAAAGGCCCAGAATGGGGTTCAATAGCCCCCTATACCCCAAAAATAAGGTCATATTCGGATTCCTCGTGAAAAATAACCCTTATGACTCATAATTTGCGTCATCACTTGTACCCAAAAAATAACGTGAAAAATGAGTGTAAAATCTCCCGGATAGTGATTTTTATTCGTTCCGAATATACAAATGTATATTAAGTTTATATTCACAGTACACAGAAAATATATCTACCAACTATTTTCGTAACAAAATTGATATCAGAAATTTTGTGTTTCAAATTTTGGTTTCGTCACTCGTTCTTCACCTCGATAGAGGTTTTTTATTTGATATCAATAGTTTTGTAAGCGCTATTTTCCAAGTTAAAGATTCAAGACACATGAATTTGAATATTTTTCAAATACAATGAAAATATGGATTTTTAGGTTATTTTTGGACCAAATTTATACAAATTATGGTTCATAATGAGGAACAGAGGTATTTTTCAGTGGTCTGTGATATGCATATTTTTTTATCTTTGACTTGAGGCTTAAATTGATGAAATTTTCAAGAGAATATATGCAGTCTTTTTCGAAAAAATGCCCGTTATGTGTGCGGTCAACGGTCAATTTTTGGTTGATTTGCCAATTTGTAATTGACACCACTTGAGAGCTCACTTTAAGACCTTTCGAACGAATATGCATTTGTCCTGGTTATTTCAAGTCTAGGTCCCACAGCGACCGTATGAAATAATGGCCATTTTTGCATGACCTTTTGCATAGTTTGCCATTTATACTAACAGTTTTGTAGATTTCTTTTAATTTCATTTGTGACTAACCGCATGCACCTCTCCCGACGATAGTCCACCTTCTGGCCTGGTGGGAGGGGGCATAAGATTCAGTATTTTATCGATCTTATGCGAGGAAACGTTCAAACATGTAGTTATTTGTGGTTAAGATTTCATATTTCATACATCTAGACATTTTTGTGAAAATTCGAATTTTGGTACATTTGGACGATTTTTGGTGGAATAGCCATCCAAAACGGTCGATATTTTGTTCGATTTTGTTTGGCTAGTCACAGAGCATATCAACAATGTCATTGGAGTACATTTTGGCCCATAAAATACTTCAAATGTTAAAAGTAACATTTTTTGTTCTTTTTGGCCATTTTTGGCCATATTCGCACTATCAAAGGCCATATCGTGAAGACAAGAATTTTTAGGGATATAAGCTATGCGGCATTTTATAGCTTAGACTTGGGCCTAAAAATCGGTGAAAATTTCAAGTGACCATGAAAGGCTAGTTTTCGAGCTAATGACCATTATGTGTCCGGCCAAACGGTAACTTTTTGGTTTTTGGCCAATTTGGCCACCCCAAATTGAAATTTTTGGACCGCAAGTGGCTTCATTCGATAGCTCACTTCAAGACCTTTCCAATGATATGCATATGTCCGGGGGGTGTCAAGTCATGGCGCTTCGGTGACCATATGAAAAAAAGTCGAAAAGTGACTTTTAGAGGCCGGCCATGGCCAACATGGCGGCCATATCGAAAAGTGCCGGAACAAAAAAGTCTTAGTTTTTTATGTTCTTTAAGCACATAAATTTTCAAAAAGATCAGAATCGAGTACGCAAAATTGCGCACAGACAGATATACCAAATAACTTTTATAGGAAAATCATATGAAATTTTCAAAATGCGGAATTTTTCGAAAAGATTGATCGATTTTGACGGTTAGGGGGTCGTTGGAAAGGTATTGAGCTCTAGAATTCGAATATCGATTTTTCAGGGGTCGACGACCTCATTTAGTGCCATCTATGGCCATAAAACTGAATTTTGACCCTTTTCTTGAAAAGACCATATTTTGAAGACAGGTGGACCGATTTTCGAACTTTTATATTTTTTCTTGATCTATGGCCCAATGGCTTTCCAACCATACACCAATCGCGGCTAAAGGCCTTCCATGCTAGAATTTGGAAATTACGTGTATATATAGCAAGTCAACTTTTCAACACACTAAGGTGGTTTCGTCACTCGCGCGAACTGCCGTCCGCTGTGATTGAGTTTCTTTTAGTTTCTTCTAGTTTCTTTTAGTATATAAACAAAAACGCAAATATTCTGCTAGTATTTCTAGTACGTAGGCGACTATTTAAGTTTCTTCAATATGTATGTTTTAGTA